TCCTGTCCTCCCCGTGCAGCCCTGGGGGGGGAGGAACCCCGGGGGCACGGAGGCCAGGACCTCCTGTATGAGCCCCGCCCCCCGGCTTCCTAGGGGAGGAGACCCTCAGACCCATAACCCGCCCTGGCCTGGCTCCTCCCGGGGCAGCTGGACGGGGAGCAGTGGCGGGCGGGGCAGGGCACCCACCCAGGGCCTCCCCCTCCAACGCGCTTGCTCTTTCTACTTCTGTGCGGTTGGATCAGAAAACAGTGCAGAAGCTAATTTGCATGATCTCTCGTTTGAGAGTTTCATTTTAGCAAGGCACACTAATTAAATAAGGATGAAATACTCCATTCTGTTCCACTACCATTTGTTGAGACTCTATTTGGCATGCAAAAAGAAATAGCTTTTGAATACTAAATAGTCAAAGTTTAAAAGTCAGAAATCTCCTTTTTAACCTTTAACCAAGTCACAGCAGGCAGATCTGCCTTAGAGAGGTTGGCCTGCCCTGCCCTGCCCCTCTGTATATACAGACATTCAGTCACACACATATTTCAGACCTGTTTTCGGACAGGGGCAGGCGTGGGCCGTGCCCTTTGCTGCACTTTCAGTTGACTCCATTAGCAGGGGCTGCAAGGAACAGGGGGAAGGACACTAACCACAAACCTGAGAAATGGACTGTAGACCCACCTCTGCCTCTTACTCTCTGACATTAATTCTTCAGCCCTTTGACCATCACCTTCTTCATCCATAACACGGAAGGTTTGCAGTGGTTTATCTCTAAGGTAACTTGCAGCCTCAATATGTCATGGCTCTCTTTTTGGGTTACAAATAGGCCTAAACGGGCCAACTGATATGGTTCATGTAAAGATTTTAAAGATAAGTCTTGCTTCTTCTTGTGAGTAGTAAGTTTCTTGAGAACAAAAGCTATGTTCCTTTGACTATCTTTTCACAGCCCTTACCAAAATATCTATAATATAATTAGGTGTTCAATTGAAAATTTTTAGTAATAAAGGAATAATTGAATAATTATATACTAAAGGGGAATGGATGGGTAGCCCCACTGCGATGAAGCTGGTGTGCAGGGTGAGGAGCAGAAACTTGGACCCTGAGGACCTGGGCATCCCCCGCCCCACACATCACGCTGCCTCTGGCATCTCCCATGACACCGACTCCAATAACTCCATTCGCCCAGCAGAGCAGCCAGGATGCTGGTGAGCCAAGCCACAGACTCCCCTCTGGAAGGCCCGCCCCGCCCGCGACCTCCGCTCATTAGCTCATTCTGAGAAGGATCGATGGATGGATCAATCACCACAGGGTGACCTCGCCCCGCAGACTCTGATGGGGAAACGCAGCTCCTCCCGGGGGTTCTGGGAAGTGCGTGCTCAGCACGGGCCGAACCCCCACACACCACTGATGGGAACTGAATTCCCGGGCGTAGCTCTGCGGGGTCGGGGCCACAGAGAAGGTGGTGGCGAGCACGGGGCCTGTGGGTGCGGGTGCCCGAGCCTGGGCCTTTCCTGGTGCCCCTCGGGCGGGGGGGG